TCCTCCTCCTCCTCCTCCTCCTCTTGGCCCATTCGTTCTGACATCTGCATACAGACAAGGATGGAGTTCTCTTCCAATTCTTTCTCCTTTTTTTGAGACAGGGTCTTGCTACATAGTGCAGGCTGTCCTTGAAGTCACTTATGTAGTCCAGGCTGGCCTCACATTCATGGCAATCCTCCTGCCTCAGCCTCCCAAACCCCAGGATTATAGATGTGTGCCACCACACCCAGCTCTTCCAGTTCTTAGTGTGAAGCTGTTTCTGTTCATTTCACCAGGTCTGTGCTTACTGAGAAATGCCCATGCTTACACACTCTATATCAGATGCCATAGTCTCCTCCTCACGTGCACTTCTGTACTCTGCGTGACATAGGTTTTGTCACACCCCTGTGTCAGAGCCAGTCCTTTACCTTCCATTTCAAGTTTGCACCTCAAGCCACAGACAGGGCACTCATCCTCCCAAATCCAGCTTCCCTCCCACCTTAGCACTGAATGTCCCACACCCAGCTCCAAGCTGCTTGCTGCCTTTAGTCTCAGACTGTCTATTTCAAGACCCCCTCGCTCTGGGAAAACCCCCCCAACACTTTTCATCACCCCCCCATTGGTCTTTTCTTGCCGCTGTCTTCAGTCAGAGAGAACCGAAGCCTTGCAGTAAATGTCTCCCAAAGAAAATACTTTTTTGGCTCCGACTAGGAAATCATTTTTCAGCATGAATAACACAACCCTCCATCATTTTAGTTTTTCTGTCAATTTTTAAGCAATAGCTTAAGCAGCAGTAGGTTGCTTGGAAGCAGCCAGGAAAATAAGCTCTGGTCCATGCGCTCCAGAACTAAAAGGGGATCAGCAGCAAGTCCAAAGGCCGTGGCCTGAACGCTCCCCGCCACGTGTTGTCCTTTCCGTTCGGTTTCTATGGGACCCGGTGTTGAGGGTAGGGAGGATTTCCAAAAGCCCTGGGTGATATCCTTTAGAAAAATAAAGAATTAAATTTTAGGAGGAAAAAAAAAAGTGCATTAAGAGGTGGGTGAGGGACCGGCACATAAGAATCTTGATGCCTGATGTCTGCAGAAACCAAATCGAAGGCTTTTCCAAAGCCCCATATTAAGTGCCATTTCCACCAAGTGCTCTTTCATTGGCATAAAAAAAAAAAAAAAATCCAGAAGAGGTTATAGCTTTGGGAATTGCAGGCATTTTCCAACCAACCCACAACCTACAATGCATGGTCATGTTTTAGAGGGCTCTCCTATAGGTAGGGGTGGCCCTGTGACTCAGCGAGCCAGCAGGCTTCTCTTAGGATCCACATTATGTAGGATTCTGTGTTGAGAGTGGATCTGACATGCACCAAAAACAAACAACTAGGAGCAAAAATGAGCACAGCACATCAGCACTCCTACGGCCCTCACCCTCGGTGAGGAGCTTATGGTGGTTCTGCAGGACCTGTTAGCTAGTGGCCAACACATTATGGAATTTTTCTTCACTAGCCCTAAAACACTAATACCTAGCCGGGTGTGGTGGCACACGCCTGTAATCCCAGTACTTGGGAGGCTGAGGCAGGAGGATCTTTGTGAGTTCAAGACCAGCCTGGGGTACAAAGTGAGCTCAAAGTCAGCCTGAACTGCATAGCGAGACCCTGTCTCAAAAAGACAAAGAAGAAAAAAAAAGCTGATACCTTCAAGGGGGTAGTTGTATTTTTACAATAGCGTCTTAGAGTGGGGATTCATCTCTAATAGAGAGCTGGTGAGCAGGGTGACAGGTAGTAGGGAGAAGACTGTTGAATTTTCTAAATTCACCCCATTCAGGCATGACGAAGCTGCCTAGTGGCGTGTGGTGGAGGCGAAAGAGCAAAGTGTGGGGTCTGCTCTGCCAAAGGGGAAAAAAACCTAAAGCTCCTGAAACACTAATCCATTTACTCATTCACTCAAAGGCATTTGATCAAGTTCCTCCTGCGTGCTACTAAACAAATGCTAGAAATACCACTGCAAACAAACCTCACAAAACTACTTGCCCTCACAGAGCTTGCAGATTCTAGAAACAATGACAGAACTCATCAACGTGCCAAGTAAACTAGTTTATACCAGGTCGTTTTGAACGCCACCCATTTCCCCTCCCTATGAGGAGTTTCTCCTTGCGGCGGGGCAATGATCTAAGAGGAGATCTGATTGCTGCTAAACACAGGGCAACTTTCAGCCCTTTGTAACCATTTCTTTCCTCATCAATCAGACAAAACTACCAGCAGACATCATGGAGATGTTTGACTGAAATAATATGTAAGAAAGCACCTTGCTGAGCACAGCCTACTGAATGTAAGAAATTCACTTTTAATCACTCAAAAGATGTTCCTGTTGAGTTGCCCTTTAATCCACACTTCCTGTCCCCCTCCACCCGTGCTCTTCCCTGTTCTCCAGGTGAAGGTCAGGCACTACCACCCCTGCAGCCTGGCTTCTCCCCTCCCCTTAGGAGGACAAATGTCCCCTCACTGTCTCTCCCTCTCCTGGTGCTGGACACCTCCCTCTAGCAAACAGGGGGACAATTATTCCTTCATTTTTCTTCCTCCCTCCCCAGACTTTGAACTCTTTAAAGACAAGGATCAAAGCTTTCATCTTCTTGTTCCATTTGGCAGTTCTGTCACACGCTGCGCCGGGCACAGCACCTAAGATAAATAAACACTTCTTGAGGGAATAAACAAACAAGATGACTCTCATTAGCAAGGTGAGCTTTCACACACTCCTGCTCCACTGGCCCTTTCTCTTTCTGATGCGTACAGTGTGTGCGTACAGACCAGAGCCCGTCACGCCTGATTTCTGAATCTTCAAAGGGCAGAGGACGTGGAGACATAACTTCAAGAAATAAAGTCATTCATTAATTTTGTGGGTGACCCCCAAATAGGGGTGAGAGCTAATATAGTACAGTCTGAAGAGAGCCAGACGTGGATCCCGAGCAAGCAGAAGCGGGTGGGGAGGAGTGGCTGGCATGCAGGCGGGCTCCTGCTCCAGCTGCTACAGAGGGACCCTCGGTCTCCTCCCTGTGCCCACCCACCCGGGAGCTCTGTGCACACCTAGGCCTTGCTTTGCCTTCTTGCTTCCCATAACAGTAATATGGGCTATGTGGCCTCACCCGCTTCCCCCAGCAGACACTTAGGAAGCTGCCAGGATAGTCACTGCACCAGTGGCGTTCATCTGTGGTCACCACCGTCAACAACTCCAATTCCAGAACCCTTTCTCTGCGACAGCTGGAGGAAAGCCCCTGCCACCTTGCCGGTGAAAAGCCCATGGCACTGCAAGGTCCCTAAGTGTCCTTTCTGTGCTATGGAGAATAAACCCAGGGCCTTCACACTGATACATTCCTGGTGCTTTTTAATTTTTTTTTTTTTTTTAGTTTGAAACGGCGTCTTGCTACATTACCCAGGCAGGGCTCAAACTTGTGATCCTCCTTCCTCAGCCTCCGAAGTGCTGAGATTACAGGTGTACACCACCATGCCTGGTCCCCGAGTGTCCTTTAATTTGTCAACTATATTAAATATTTCCAAAGTGACCTTCCTACAATATATACTTTATTAAATTTTGAATCTTTGGAAATTGTTGATTTGTGCGTGTATGCTCCTCTGCCAGCCCCGGATCTCTTGGCAGGATCTCCACAATTCTCTGAAACTTCCTTCCTGCCTTTACCTCGCTGCTCAGCCCTCATCCTTTCTGCTGCTGTCTGCCTCAGGGAAGACTCGGGCAAGCAGCAACCATCAGTTTTCCAGGGCCTGCTTGCAGAGCAGTGTCATGAGCCCTGTAAAACCTCTGCATGGCCCCTCCCAGCCTCTGTCCTTCTTCACTGTCCACTCTGCCACGAAAGCAGAGCCTGGAGGGAAAAGACCACAAACCTTTGCCTTCATCACAGCTTTCTGAGCACCTCTCCACCCTCACAGCTCAGCCCAGCCCCTGCCTGCCCAGAAGAGCCTTCTCACCACCTCCTCTGTGGGCGGACTTGGGAAGCCCATCCAAGGTTTCCTGTCCCTCATTCTGTTCCAGACAGGCGTGCGCCCTCTCCCCACTGGCTGTTCTGATTATGCACTGTTACACTTGGGCGCAGACTGGGACAGGAGCGGTAAAGAGTGAGTCCCCCACTCCTGGTGGCCCTGGGGCTGGGGGAAGCCCCTTGCTGGTGTCTCTTGTGCACCAGCACTCACCAACCCACCCAACACTGCCGCATGCAGGACAGATGGGGAGCAGCCCAATTGCTTCTACTTGGAAAGGGGCGGGTGTGATTATGAGTCTCACCATCCAGACATTCTTCACGGTGCTATTTTTATCTCAGTAATCATTAAATTGGTGTCAGATGGGCTGGTCGGGTCCCGCATGCCCAGGCTGGGAGATGAGACTCGGCGAGTTTTTTCCAGGCAAGAGATGCTCGTGTCACCCATACAAACGAGTCTCTGGTACCCAAGGCCTCACACTGAGCCTCGCTGGTCCCGGCCCGTGTCCCTGTGTGGCTACCAGAGCATGGCTCATCTTCATGCCCACCTCATTCCCGACCCCCACTCATTGAACAGACAAATGTTGAGCGCCATCTCAATGCTGGACATTAAACAGGATGCTAGGGAGTCACAAAAAAAATCTCTACCCTTAAGAAACTTCATGTAACAAAGAGAAAGCATGGTCATATGAAGTGGCAGTGTATATTGGGTCAGGCGAGTCACGGCCATGAACAAGGAGGGTCAGGAGAGTCACAGCCATGAACAAGGAGCATGGTGGAGGGAGATTTCTTCTACTTGGGTTCCCAGGAAAGAGAAGCAGACCGCTGGGTGGAAACGTAGCCCCCGGGCAGAAGCATATTAAAGACTATTGATTTGTTCAAGCCCAGCTGTGAATTCAGCTCTCACTGAGAAATCCAGGCACAGCCCTGGCCTGAGGCCCATCCCAGGAGATTGTGAGGCTGAGGGCCTGGCACAGGGATGCCACCATGTTGCTCCAAGAATCCTGGCTTTCTGACTCCAGGCTCCAGAACTGGAGCTCTGAGCCGGGCCCAGAGGTGAGAGGCGGCAGGTAGTGAATGAGGGTGACTCTGGGTGCTGAAGAGAGACACAAGCTCGGGGTCCCCATCATGGGCCTTGTGAATGACAACCTTGAGCCAGAACGGGACCAGGACCCCTCACTAGGCACAGGAGGCAGGGATGCATCACTCTATGGAAACCGAGAGGGGTCTTCTAGATTCTGTATCTTTCAGTCTAGTTGATAACTCTCATGACTAAATGCTTGGAAATTCAGGGTGAAATTTAACAGAGAACCAAAACGGGGCATAGCGGGAACACAGGGAGAAATGTGGCACTGAGCGATGGCAGAAAGTGCATTTGCAGATGTTCTGGGCGATGCAGGGTCTGCTGCTCTGGTTTTCATTTCCTCCGACCAGACATTCCAGACCCCACCCCCCACGAGTCACATGGACACCACGCAGGCACAGCCCTGCGGGGCGCAGCGGTGGCGCTGGAAGGGCCTCCTCGCTGCCGGCTGCTTGTCGGCCAGCTGGAAGAGCCTGGGGCCACCTGTCTGGTCGCAGCCTCTCTGCTGTGGGCCTCGTGGAGCCAGGGCCGGCTTTGCGGTCTGACTAAAGTGACAATGAAATTAATAGGATCCTGATGTTGTGACTGAGGCCATTGCTGTGTCTCCAAACAGGGATGAGAGAGGAAATGTCATTAGGACGCCAGGAGGCTTTTGAAATCTTCAAGAGGGACCACGCGGACAGCGTTACCATCAATGACAACAAACAGATTCTGAAGCAGAGGTAAGGCTGTGTCCGAGAGCAGCTGGCCCTCCAGGCCAGCCCAGGGGAAGGAAAGGCGCTGTCTGTCCCTCCCGCTGCCCAGCCTCCCTCTGTGAGAAAGGCATGACATCTGTTCAGCTCTACCATAGGTGTGAGCCTCGTTGCCCCCGTACTATTGGGGTGAGCAGCTTTGAGGGTGGAGTCAGCTACGCATTAACCCGAATACAGCTCTCACACAGCTCATCAGCTCTCTGCAGCCTGTGATGCTCTTGCTGCCACCCGCCCCAAAGGTGGGGGACTAAGTCTACGGACCTCACTACACTTCAGCAGTGCGGCCCTCCAACTGTGGTGGACAGCAGCCCTGTACTTCCTAGTGTAAGAGCTCACTCATGTCTTGTGACCCAGAGTCCCCTGGTGAGTTCTGCGGGCCACTGTCAGAGCAGGCAGGTCTGTCTGCTGATGTGCTGTCCAACAAGACAGGGCCCTTGAGAGAATGCGGCATTTGTCGTAGCCCGTGTGTGGCTTCACCAGACATAGCAGAAGGGACTGCCGGGAGCGCAGCCCAGTGCACGAGGAAGAGTTCTGACTGTCCCAGGGAACTGTCACAGGTCATGTGCAGCTCTAGATCTTAGCCCAGGGGACATCTTCAAAACCAATTTGCTGGATCTCAGCAAGATCCAGTCTGAGAGATGATGTGCTTATAAACCACACTCGGAGGCAGGCTGAGAAGTAGGCGAGCTAGGGAGGAACTCCAGGAAAGGAGGCCCGAGGAGAAGCGGAGAAAGAGTAAGGGAAGGAATGAGGGAGAGTGAAGTCAGGAAAGCCAAGCCGGGAGATGACGTCCAGGTCATTTTCCTCGTGGCTGGGACAAAACACCTGACACTTACAGCTTAAAGGAAGAGAGGTTTATTTGGCTCACATTTCTGAAGCTTCAGCCATTGCACGGTTGGCACACAGGGCAAGGGCCTGGGTGCAGGAAAGCTGCTCACAGGGTGGTAGCGCAGGGCAGGGATAGGCCCTTCCAGGTCACACCCCTAGAGACGGGGCTCCACCCAGGCCCCGCCTCCTGTCAGCAAGTTAGCTGTGGCACCGTAATCCAATCACTTTCAAAAGCCCGCCTCCGAGCACAGGAGGCTCTTGGGGATGCTCTTAACCTAAACCGCAGCAGATGGCCACAGAAGCAGCACACTGTCAGTGGTGTCAAATGCCACAGAGCAACAAGCAGGAGGAAGTGGGCCAGCCACATAGACTTGGCCACAAGACCACCAGGCGGCATGCGGGGTGTGAAGGAGCAAGCGAAAAGGAATTGGGGGTAACAGAGAAAAAGGAGGAACAATGTGTTCTTGAGGTGTGGCTTGCGGGGAGCCCTGCGCTGGACCCTCGCCACCCCAGGAAAAGTGTTCAGTAACTTTGAACTATGAAAAACTTTCTCAAAAGAGAAAAAACAGCAGTTGAAGGAGAAATGAAGTTAGTTTCGAATGGAGAAGGATTGGGCAAGATTTAGGCCCAAAAAGAATTAAGTGGCAAGAGAAAAACAGAGGGCCAAGGGAGAGACTGAGAAAGCCAGCCACCCGGAAGACGGGTATGCGGGGAACCGGATGTTCAGAGGGCAGCTCGCCCTGGAAGGAAGCACAAATAGAGAACAAATCCAGACCCGCTGATCAGTTTCGATGTGGAGGGAGAAAATGAAAGATGGCCTCTCCCTTCTCTTCCATGTGAGAAGCAGTCAAGGTGGAGTGAGGCTTGAGGAAGTTAGCACCTGGGGCAGGAAGGCAGACTGGAAAAGCAGGGAAGGCAGGCAGCACCGGTGCCGGGCCCCCAGACTCTCAGAGTGGCTCTCACACTGGGCAGGGGGACGTCCCCCACCTCAGGTGGCAAGAGCACAGCCATTCTGGGGAACAGTTCAGCCCTTCTCAGTCAAAAGAGGTAAGTGCACCCCATGACCCAGCAGTGCCTCTTTGGAGTCTGTTCCCCAAGCCAGCCCCACCTAAGAGTGCTCACGCAGCATCGTTTGTGGCCAGGGACAGTGGGACACTCTCTGGGTGTCCATCACGGGGCAGTGGACAGGTGCCAAAAAGAGGAAGCTGTGGATGAGGACCAAGCAGGAGGAGCGATGGAGCCTACGTGTAGGAGCACAAAGCCCAGAGTCACGGCACGGCAGGGGACGCACTTTCTGTAATCTCCCAACATCTGCACCTGAAACACACCACCAAGAAGACTCACTTCAGGGTACCCTAACTCTGAGAGCAGGAGGGGGGTATAAAGGAATGAAAGAGCAAATTAACTGAAAGAAGGGTGGGTAGGGGTGGATAAAATGAACCTCGTAAAAGCCGAGCCTACCCCAGGAGGGGGACATATGCTTATCCTTACACTTTCAAGAGTCCATACCTTCTCATGCCTGTCCCTGTTGCTAGCCATCCATGTGTTCTGACCTGGCCAGTTGGATGTGTCAGAGCAGGATACCTGTCCTGCATGTATGTCTGAAGACAAGCATAGAGGACAGTGGTCACAGCCAGCAGGACTTCTGGTGGCCCCGAGCCATCATCATCCTGGCTTCATAAACTGGGCCTGAGCACACCTTTTTAAAATATGTATCCACTACAACCAGATTTGAAACCAATGGTGTGAGCCAGGTATGATAACATTCAGCTGTAACCCCAGCATTCAGGAGGCTGAGGAAGGAGGATTACAAGCCCAAGGCCAGCCAATCTGGACTACAAAGTGAGACCCTGCCTCAGAAGAAAACCCTGGGCTTTGACAGTGTCCAGAGACCTTGGAATCCAGAACCACTGGGGTAAGATCCCCAGAATTCTACCAATTAAAAATATTACCAACTTATTCTTTTGTACACACAAGTATATATGAACTCCTGACTCGGGGAGAACATGATATTTTATCTTTCTTACTCCAAGATTGGCCTGGTTCCTGGTTCTGTTTGTACTGGAGTTCAGATCTATTTCCAGTGGGGAACAAGCGGGACGAGCAGGCTGCAGCCTCCTAAAGGCTTCTCATCACCACCGAGCCATCCTAGCTGTAGCTCAGTATAGTCTGACAGCCCACGAGACACACGTGCTTCGGGTTTAAGGCTCTCTGGGTCACACAGGACAGGCTGCAGTTCTGGTGAGTGCATCTTCCTTGTGGCCATTGTGCAAGAGAATGAATGACATTCGCACAAAGCTTTCCAATGAAAAGAGATTTTCCCAGCAGTAAATCAGTCTTTTCAAGTCAAATGAGAAGTCGGGAGACCAGCCCACATTTGTACAAATTTCTACATCTGTTTAATGTTACTGTACTACCCATCATTAAAGCCCTGTTAGGCACCCAGGAGGGAGAGGGTGTAACCCAGAACCTACCCTTTCTCAGGCTTGGCGCTTTTGTTTGCAGTCACACAGAGATGACTCAGTTATGAGGTATTATAGACGCACTGATGCTTACACCAGCTACTAAGAGAAAGCGTCACCTGTGGACACAGCTGCGTGACCAGCATTCCAGCAGCACTCCCGAAAGCAGGCCCAGATGTTCACAGGGGTGTCTGCGGCACCCTTCCTTAGGATGTTCATCCAGTGATCCCGTCCCCTTCCGCACGTTTGTTCCAGTCCCCCCAGTGACAAGGAGGGCCTATGTGGACGTCTGTAGGCTCAGCATGGCATTCAGTTACTGTCCCTCCTCTTCTGGAAGTGTCACCTTCCTCAGCATCCATGACCCACCGGCTAGTGATGACACCATATTGGCAAAGTGCATGAAAGAGGGATTGAAGCGAATCACCCTTCACGAAAGCTGCTCTACCCCCTAGCAAGTGGGTTCTAATCACAAAGGCAAGAGTTATCAGCCACCCTGAACCTCCTCTGATTCCCTCTGCTCCCTAAGGTATAAGGACTGACTTGGAGTTGCAGACGGGGACTGTGAGTGGCCTGCACTCTCCGTGATTCTTAACAGAAGCCTTCTCTCTTCCCTTTGTCCCACATCCTTGGACGCACACACATCTCAGAGCTCCGACCCCTGTGTGGGGACCTTGGGCTGTCTGTCAGCGACAACAGAAACAAGAAGTTGGCCTAGTAATAGGATGTTTGCCCTTCCATGACCTCAAGTCTGTGAGCCACCTCTTAAGCAGGATTTTTCAGTAGAGGACAATAGCAACTCACAATGCCTACATTTTCCAGGCCTGACTCATCCACGTAGTCTATAATAATATCAAGAGAGGCTGGCGCCCCTGTGCTTGGCAAATATCAGTGCCCGAGCAATGCACAGCCAAACTTCTTTTGTTCAAACTCTTCGCACAAACTGAATCCCTCACACACAGAGTCCCATTAAATAACAAAAGAAAAAAATGAATGGGGAGATTAACGGCGGTGGGAAATAAAGGCCTCGATAATGTGCACAAAATCAAGAAAAGCAGCCTCACTCGGTCAGGCGCTTCCCACACAGCACAGCAGCAATCTGAAACCGACAGGAAAACTAGACCGAAGGTGCAGAAAAATCGTGGGCACCATCTGGAAGTAACACCCACAGCAAATGGGAGCACCCTGGTTCCTGTGAGACCTCAGTTCTGACATTTACTATTTTCCATTTGTTTTTTTGTATTTACACCTTGTCTGCTCAACTAGAATTATAAACTCAGAGAGCAGAGATTAAATTAGAATCTTCTCAACCTCCCCACAGTTTTAAAAACCACACTGGACACCGAAATGGTAGGCAGATTGTTTGAGAATGATAATTTGAAATTGACTTTGAGGAATGTTAGCAGCCAAAAAAACTGCTTGGGCAAACTTCAAGCTTCCTAGAAGTAGAAGACTGGGGCTTGGGAGGAACCGCCCTGAGGGAGACGAGAGAGCAGCCATCTTGGAGGAGACAAAAGCGAAAAGGATTGTGGGTATTTAAAAAGTGCAAGAGGAACAAAGGATGGATTTTCCTCACAGTAAAATGGAGGCAGCCAAGGTACCATGTATAGGTTTTTGGAGGAAGGAGATAACAAAATACAGGCCCAGCCTTCTGTCTCCCTCTCTGAAGCAGAATATTGAGCATTCACTAAAAAGAATTAACATATCAAGTTACTTACTCCAGACAAAAAGACTAGAAAAGACCCCGCAGAAGCCCTGAAACAACACTGACCTAACCCACTGACCTAAATAAACACTCTGCCGGCATGACAGGAACCGTGAGCACAGCGGTTCCTGGGGACCCTGTGGCTGAGGACCAGCAGCAGGCCCGGTAGGCCTCTGATGAGAGCAGCCACTGCTCGGTCCCTGTGAACAGTGCGGCGCTAGCTGCCCTGGGCGGAGCACGGCGTCCTGGTCCTCAGCTGCTTGCGCAGGGATACCTGGCACACACCAAGGACGGGAAGAGATCTTCCCAGGAGCTGGTCTCAAAAGTTCCATGTGATTCTTCCTCGCTCCTTCCTCACGTTCTTTCCATCCCGTCTGAAGTTGGGAAAGTCGGAACTGTGTCAGGTGTCCTTGATCACTGACTCCAGGGGTCCGTTCTGATCCTTCCGCCTGCCCAGCGGATAATTCTCACCCCTTGCAGCCAGCCTGAAGCCCCTCTCACTGCTCACCACACACCCGCGGTTGGCAGTGGTCAGCACTCACACACAAAAATCACCTGTGCGTGCGTGTGCTTCCCACAGCAGCCCAGCCTCATCCTAATCTTGGAAACGGTGAGCCTGGAGCCAGCTGCTAGGAGGCAGAGTGGCTCGGGGTCCCGGCCTCGCCTGGCACTGGTTGCCTGGGTGCACCGGGCAGCCTACCCGCTTTCATGGGGCCTGCTTCCTCGGAGCAAACCCGGCTCTGTGCTCCAGGGAGGTAAGAGTGAACTAAGCAAGCGAGGCCACCCACCTCCCAGAGCTTACCACGTTGAAAGTGAAGCAAAGGAGTCATCGAGCGCGTCCCACAGCCGCACGCTCTGCCCCTGAAGGGAGGACGCGGTGCTGTGGTGCGGGTGGGTGCATCAGCCCTGGTGGCTTGTTCAATCTGGGAGAGCTAGGCAGAGACAGCGACGTCCAGCGGAAACCCCGGAGAGGTTAAGTGGAAATGGATGAGGCAGAAAGAGGCTGCAAGGCAAAGCAAGGACTCCCAGAGGACAGAAGGTGACGCCTGGTGGAGCTGAAAGCGAGGTGGGCCAGCCTAGAAGGGTGGAGGGCAGGGAAGAGCTGGACGTGAGCACCAGCAGAGCAGGAAGAGATGGAGAGTCTGTGCCATCTGCTGAGGGATCGGGACCCTGTCTGGAGGTCACAGCGCGCACTTGTGGATGAGAATTATCCGCTGGGGAGGACTCGGGTCGGGAGGGCATTTGCACTGAGGCGTCGGGAGCAGCCTGCGGTCAGGAAGCATGGACCTGGAGCGGGAGTGGGAGCCAAGCCCCGGAGATGCGCACTGGAGGGTCTTGAGGATGTAGAACGGCCGGGTGGGACTCTGGGACTCCATGAAGGGCCCAGGGGAGGGCGCTAGGGTGCGAGGCAGTCAGTTGTCTGCAGACACGGAGCATCTCAGTTATCCGCAGGGCTCACAGCAGGCAGTGCGGGTCAAGAGCCCAGGCGGGCTAAGATGGCATTGTGGTGGTGTGTGGCAGAGAGTAGAGAGGACCTGGTGGCCCAGGCTGTCTGAAGAGACCAGGGCCTAGGCAGAAGCCTGAGGGTCGTCAGCGTGCATGGCCCGGGCTCTGGAAGACGTCTGCAGAGCAGCCTGAGGAGGAGCTGCCCAGGAGAGCCAGTGTCCCAGAGGCCGGTGGCAGTGTTTGCCCAGCGTCATGACGGCTGGCTGAAGGGCAGCCTGGCACTGTGCTCCTCCTCCCTCCCCAGGCCAGCCCTTGCCCTTCCCCAGAGATTTCTCTGGGGGGAGAACACAGCAGGCTGCCGTGGGCACTGGACCTGCACCCAGCTACACAGTGTCCTCCGGGTGAGCCCCGGGCCCAGCTTTCAGGGGCACTCGGGCTGCCGAACGCAAGGAGATGCAGTGGGCGCCGGGACTGCAGGGGTGCTCTTCACCCCACCCCTTCCCCGGCCTTCTCCTCTTCCTCCTGCCTCCTCGCCTCCTTCAGTGCTCTCCCTTTCCCCGCTCTTCCCTCAAGGCTGGGCTTCTGGAGTTTGTCTGGACGACCAAGGATCAGGGCCACATGTGGGTGGGGTGGCCTGGAGCAGCGACAACTTGCAGAGTGGAGGGAAAGCTGTCAGGAGGACGGCGCAGCGCTGGGACCGCACCTCTCCAGTGGGAGAGCCCTTTACAGCTCTGGGCTGGCAGAGTGCAGAGGAGGGCCGGGAGCAGCTGGCACTGCCCACAGTTCCTGCCAGCTGTGGAGCAGGGCGTTGACCACAGCACCACGGTCCCGGACATCTGGACACCGCCAAGCCTGGAGAAGCCAGCCCTGACCTGCTGGGGCTTCTCTGGGCAGGTCTGTGGTGGAAACGACCCTCCTGCTTAGCCCCTGTTGGCATGCATTTCACTTTTGCAGTCTTGCTGTTATGTTTTCCTTCATCCAAAGACTGAAACTGCAATTGGATTCATTCGCTGAGCAATGCGTGACTCTCAAATCCTGTGAAATCCTAGGTACGGGGGACAGACAGCAGCGATCAGTCACAGTCCCTCCTTTAGAAATACCGGTGTCATCTTCTCAATGGCCTGCACCACACCTCAGAGCACCCTGCCATCCTGACCCCATCGGGCCCAGCACAGTGACCTATGCTTCCTGTAACTGTTTAGTGAGTGGAATTTGCACCACCGGGAACCACACTTACTTCTAGAAGGTGCCAGGCCCGGACTGAGAAGACATCCATAACCCACACAAGCCTCGACTGGACAGCCTTCAGGAGGACCCAGGGTGGAGTCCCAAGGAACCTAACGTGGAGAAAAATTTAGTCCCTTTCCCTGGAAAGTTCCTGTCTGCAGTCCCAGGCCAAGCAGACAGACTTGGAAAATAGCAGTGACATAATTCGCACTTCTTTCCACCGTGCACGGTGCGGCCACGGCAGCCTGGCCACTGCTTGTGCTGTGTCCTCCCTGCCTCCCCCAGCACAGCCCCGCGCAGCTGGAGTGCTCACAGATACAACGGTGTGACAGCTGGGATCTGAACGATCCAGCAAGATTTGGGAGACAGGGGAGAGGAAAGGTGTCTGAAGTAAAGTTGGGCAATTAGTGAAACGTGGAGGTAGGCACGTGTTTACCCTCCTGTTCTATGTTGTGTAATTTGCAAATGTTCCAGAATAAAAAGTTTCCTAAAAACTCCTATGCATCCACAAGACCCAGCTCAAGCTCATCTTGTACATAAAGCTTTCCCAACTATACCCTGCTTGTAGATAGGCCCCCTCCTAGTCAAACTCTGGTGGCATGACTGCTATTACCCAAGACACCACAGTGATTTACTATCACCATATATTATGTCATACATCCACATGTATTACTACAGCCACATGTCAGGGAATACGGACACACATGTTACCATCACCATGTGTCATGCTTCATAGGTTTTCAACTGCTGCTTTAATTTTGTAACAGAAAGGAAAGGAAGGAAAAGCAGCCCACATTTTGTAAGGACCCACTATGTGTTTCTGATACCCATTTCCAATGCCACTTTGCTAGTGCAAAGGTGGTTTTCTTGTGAGTGTCTCATAAATTTATGTTAAAAAAAATATAGAGAACTAAACAGCAGCACAGCCACCTTGTGAACTGGTATGTGTCCACCAAAGGACTTCCGGTGATATAGAGAAACATTTACAATGCTGAGGAAAACCAAGTAAATGAGGATCCAAAATTACATGCATAGTATGATCTCACCCTGTAAGAACTTGCTAGAAGAAAAGACTGGATGGGTGTGTTTATCAAAATGTGCTTGTTTCTGGGTAGGGGATTATTAGGAATTGTTTTTCTGAAATTACACATTCAAAATCTGACTCAGTAATTATATGTAACAAGAGTCAGGAAGCTCTTTCACAGCCACACGACTCAGGCACTCACACAAAGCAGCCGTAGACGAGACAGGCAAGAGTGGGCGTGGCTGCGCCCCAGTGAAACTTTACCTGCAGGACACGGATCAGGCTGTGACCAGTCATCGTTCACCAGGCTCTGATACACTACTTAGCAATCAGGAGGGAAAAAATTGTGTGGCTTTTGGCTATAAGATCTTGGCACCGTGGTTGGCAGACTACCCACAGAAACCTTACCTACGTGCCTTTTCCTGCTGCCCCTGCAGGATAAAACGATAGAAATCAAAAGTCATAAATCAGAGAACGTGAGCATGAACATCAGATGCCAGAATGGCTAAAGTTCCACCGCATGAATTTTATCTCTAAGGTTAATATGTCTTTTAATGAAGTTTTATACGATTTTGAAGACCTCTTGGAAATCTAGTTTTAGAACATGATCTATGGTAAACAAAAAAAGGAAATTTTTCTTTTTTTTGTCCCTCCCTCCTCTTTTCCAGATTTTCTGAAGCAAAAGCCCTGGGAGAAAGTATAAATGAAGCGAGGAGGAAAATCGGTAAGCAAATGCTGTTCTGAGGGCCTCTTTCACAGGCCATTGTCCAGATGACAGTCAGAGCATGGTGTGCCTGCAGAATAGCCATGAAGCCTGTTCTCAGGAGGGTCCCTGCCAGGGCAGCTGCTTTGAGAGCGCCTTCTGAAGTTTGTGCCCTCCAGCCACTTGTCAGGAAAAGCACTTTCTTTGGTCTAGGATGCAAATCTTTCCTCCTCTTTGTGCAGGCCTGGGTCCTAGCAGCCCCATGAGAAGTTCTGCTTTTCCCTGGTATTTCTCAACAACAACCCAAGGTGACCTCCTTTGTATGTGCAAGGGCCACAAAGCACTTTCGCAGCAACCCCCCACCTTCCGCTGAGTATGTTTTCACACAGGTGCGCATTTTCAGCACCATTCAGAAGGCCAATGGGAGAATCAGAAGCAAACGTGAGCCAGTGGGTCTTGCTGGGGCGAGGGGAGGCCTGCCAGGCAGGATCCCCACTGAGGGTTGCGCCCCTGGAAAGACTAGGCTGAGGGAAGAGACACACTCACTGTGTGAGTCTCAGATCTACTCCAAGTGACAGACGCGCATCAGAGACCCATGTCCCGGGCTCAGGGCAGCTTCACAGAGGGCTTCCCTGCGCTGTTACCTCTGCACGCAGGAAGCTGCTTGTCCCCCACCCTCCTCATTCCACAAATGAGGACAGCAGTGGCTGCGAGCGTCCCCTTTGACTTCTCCTGCGGAATGTACAAAATCAGGACAGCCTCAGAGCACCTAAGTGGGGATAACAGGAGCCTCCACACCCAAGCCACACTCAGCCAACCACATGGAGAATCCCCGGTTCAGGATCTTGGATGGGAGGAGACACCCTAGATCAGGGATGGCGAACCCGTGGCACGCATGCCGCAGAGGGCTGTTTGTGTCGCTGAAAGCTCTCAAAGGTTCGCCATCATGGCCCTAGATTTTCATGCACCTCTAGCTGAAATTCAGCCCTATCTTTAGTGCTAACTGGCAGTGCCCCCAGGGGACACCACGCATCTTCACGTTGGACCACAGTGTGGCAGCCTTTGTGAAGTATCTTTTATGTGGGCCAGGGGTGTAGCTCAGTGGCACAGCACCTGCCTGGCAAGCACAAGGTCCTGAGTTAGATTCCTGGTAAAAATATATATAAAAATACTCTATTAAAAGTATATAAAATATATATCTTTTATGCTCATCATTATTTCAGAATAACAGTAGTTAGACTCACCATTAGGTCTTAGTATTTAATGCATACGTAGAAAAGTTCATAGGTTATCAGGAAAAGTTTTTAGGGGGCTGGGGATTTAGCTCAGTGGCACAGCGCCTGCCTGGCAAGTGCGAGGTTATGAGTTCAATTCCCAGTACCAGAAAAACAAAAAAAAAAGTTTTAAATTTTGATAATTATTTCATTATCATTAGTTTCTCATAAAAATCTGTGTATTATTATTATTTTATTATTATTATTATTATTATAACATTATTCTGAGGAAGGGTCCATAGCCTCTTCAGACTTCTAGGAGATCCCTGGACTGAAAACAACCAAAAGATTGCAATCTGCTTCTTGGCCTGATTCCCAAACTCCCTAAAATCGCATGTGAAATACTGGGGCTGAGAAGACCGAGTGTATTCCTGGAGGTAATATGCATGGCTTCTCCAGTTCTCAAAGGGGTCAGATGACCCACACCAGTAAGGAAATGATTCTAGCGGGATGCCCCTCCACCCGCCAGGACGTCAGGCAGGAAAGCAGACGCCTTGCTGCGGGGCGTCCTGTCCCCCAGCCTGGACAGCGGCACGGTGCTGTCCTCCCTGGAGGGGCCAGCTGGAAGGAAGGGGAGAAGGAGGCACAGGGAAACAGATTCCAGTGGGTCCAGGGCCATTTGTCAGTGCTGCTTCACCCTTTGGAGGACTAGAAGAAAAAGACCTTTTACCAACTATTTCTTCCCCACAAATAGCATGAAGATTTGCTCCTCATTAAACCAAAATAAAACACCAGTGAAACAGACTAATATGGAAGGCTCCCATTAATTCCCTCTAAAAGTGATGATGAACCCTTTAGAGCTTTCAGTGATAACACGTAGCCAACAGGGCACATGCATTAGGTTCGCCACCGCTGCCTTTACCAGTTCTTAGTCTTTCCGCTCTGTACAGTGACCGTTGCCAGTGATATAAATCCTCTGTGATCTGGTGCAGTAACATATGCCAGTGGACCCCACCTGACACATTCTCGAGGTCGGGCAAGTTGGAGGTCATGTCCTGCCCAGGAGTGGGGGGCGAGGGAGTGGGGACTATACATGGCCTGTCCAGGGGGGGATTTCGTTTGTTTTCCACACACAAAGGCTCCAGATCTGTGAGCAGAAGCCCTGCATGAGTAAACCTCAGCTTTGCAGAAAATAACAAGTAGAGTTCACACCAACGTCGAGACCCAAGCTTGTGTTACGACGAGACAAGAGGCAGGCTCAGTGCTACTACCGAAGCCCCTGCACTCTCATGTCCATGTATGCGTAGTGGAGGCTCTGGCTCCTCTCCGGGCCTCCGCCCTTCTAGCTGTGCTCTTGATCCGGCTGCACTATTGAAACCCAGATGCAAAGTGACTAACTCCCGCGTGGTACTTTGTATGGTTTGTATCCAGACGTCCCCCTAAAGCCTCATGTGGTCCATAGGTCACAGATGGGGCTTTATCGAGGTGGCTGGATCTAAACTGTGTGATGCTTGGATTGAGTCCCGATGAGATGCTAAGATTAAGGGTGTAAGTACTACCCGCCCTAAGGGTAAAAATGTAAGAGACAGAAAGAGAGCTGCTGTCACTGCTTGCTACTTCACTGCTCTGCTGCTGCCTGCCTGCCACGAGCTGCTTCTCCTCTGTGATACCCCTCCGCCATGCCACCCTGCCTTGGAGCCAGCCAACTAGCTCCAACCAAAGCCCTCACAACCTGTGAGCCGATTAAACCTTTCTTCCTGTAACTTTGGGTGTCAAGTATTCTGTCTCACCAACGAGAAAAATAACTAAGGTTGTGCTTGACCACAGTGGGGAATCTGTCATCACAGCATCTCAACCAGCAGGCGAAGACTAAGGAAGGGTAAGGTGGGATCTGCACACATATGCAGAATTTCCAAAGCAACCGAAGGAAAATGGCTTTGGGAAATTCCTATTAGTGAGTGCACTCTTCCGAGGGAGAAGGCAAATCCAGTGGGATGTGCCGTCCTGGAGGAGTCCTCTGGTGCATCAGGAGACAGGAGCACAGCGCAGATGTGCCACGACATGCAGGGGGTAGTGACTCAGTGCCACTCCCGGCCATGCCACATCCTGCCCTGGACCCTCAGGCAGGCTTCCGACGCTGGGCACTGCGCTGGTGATTGGCCTGCAGAGAGGAAACCGGAGCTGCATTGGTGAACTACAGCTCAACCAAGCCACATGTTTAAAGTTCAGCTGCCTCTGTCTCCTCTGGCAGTTTGGCTTTCCCCTGGCACTGTGACCTAGAGCTGCCTCCTGGAAAACCCTCAAAGCCTCTCATTTCTGCAGTGACCACACAACATCTCTTTCTCACATGGCATAACTGCTCGCCCATAGCTTCCATGCTATCTCCTTTGCTTCTAAGAAGCCAGCCTGAGGAGGTAGGTAAACTGTCCCCATACACTGCTCTTTGTCCTTCTCCGTACACCATCTGTATCAGTCCCGATGTCAAACAAGCAGAAGTCATAAATGGAAGAAGGAGCCAACTGAGAATCACCCTGAAAAATGACAGAGTCCTTGTCTCTGTAGGAGAGCCACTGCGATTGTACTGACCCTTTCCATACCTAAGAGCCCCAGCCTGCTTTTTGTCACTGCAGGCTATGGTTTGGACACATTCCTATACACCCCACTTCTACCCATCGGGTCTCTTAAAATGCACCCAGCTCACACTGTGGGAAGAGTGGACTGCTATAGACCGCTGGCACCCAGCAGGCATTTTTCCCAGATTACAATTCAGGCATCAGTCTCCCTGCATCAGCATCCCCCACTGGCGGCACCGACTTTACAATGAATGGCTGTTCTTTGGCGCCAGGCTCACGACTAACCCAGGCCAAGAACCAGCTGCCTTGGTGGCAGGTGAAAAAGCCGGACAGACACCCCTGGCGCCTCTCCTTCCCTCGCCAGACACCTCCAGGCCCTTGTGAAAATTGACATCATCGCAGTCTCCTCAGAGGCTTTCGCTTGTGAGCCCCTCGGTGGCCGTCTCAACCTGTAGAGATCAGAGTAGGGGCTGTTCATGACAAGAAAAGAGTAAACACTTGAAAAGCTAGCAGTGAAATGTTCCAGAAATTTCCTTTCTTACGTATCTCAGATTTGAACCTCCATCAAGAGAACAAATGGGATGATTTCTGCAGGATTGCAGTGTAGTATGTGTTCTGTATTTAATCTCTGTTGCACGTTTCAGTGTGGACTTATCTCCCGCATGCTGGCTTCAGAGCAGAGACAACATCCAGCTCCTTCTGCTAGATTAGGATGACCCCTTTGATTACTGTTTACTGCCAGCTTCAGAGAACACCGACAGTAATAATAAGAGCGGTCTCCACTTTCAACCGAGCTCTTGCTCCCTGGGAGGCTGAGAACGTGACCTGCATGATCTCCTTTGGTCCTCACAGGGGGGGACATGACCTTTAAGGTGGATACTGGCTGAACATCCCTAATGCAAAAATCTGAAGTCCAAAATGTTCTGAAATCTGAAATGGTGGGAGTCCCAGGTGGTGAATTTTGGATTTTCAGATGAGGGATATTGAATCAATAAAGTCTATGAAGTGTTCCAAATGCTGCAGTACTTCTCGTCCCAAGCGTTCAGACAGGGACTCTTAGCCTATGCTACAGTATGTGACAGATTCCAGCCCATATAGTCTGTACCCTCCTCATACCCATGCTATTAGGATGCATTCAACCATCCCATCTGGCCATTTTTTCATGTTTTAAAAACTTCTGAAATGCAGATTGCTTGTATGATTGATGCAGTCTTAGGTTCTATGAAATAGTATT